TTTTGTCTCAGAATTTTGATCTTAAAATTTAGTAATCTTCATATTATAACCAACTTAATTATAATTCTACTTGCTTTAAGTTCAATTTTCTTATTTTTTTACAATATATTAATTAATTGTTTTAACATTATAACCTTTTGATCTCTATTTTCTTTACCTTGATTATAAAACATTTAAATAAGATAATTTTAGATGAAAATCCAGGAGGCTATATCCAAAACCTAGAAAACACACACACACATGCACACGCACACGCAGGCACAGTTCACACCATATTTTCCCTCTCAAGACACCACTTTGAATCATTTGCCCATCCCCACATCTAACAGTAATAAAGACAGGTAAAAATATTAAAAGTTTTATACTTTTTTTCATCAATTTAATTATTTGTTAAAGAGAAGTTATGGTAACAAGCACTTTGGAATTATTTTTGTTAAATAAAAAATTCACTTTTCATTAGAGTTTGAGGCATCCAGATGATAAAATTTTGGCCTTTGACTTTGCTTATTTATTTATTGCCATCTGTTTACAATTATAGTAATTATATTAATCATTTAACAAGTATTCAACTACACTATAGTTTTAAATTTAAAGCAGAGATGAACAATTATCTCAAATACATTATTATAATGTAACACATTAAGATTAGTTATAAACTTTAAGAAGTCTTAAACTTTAAGATGTGAACCTTGATGCAGGTATTTTTAAATGACCAACTTTCTTTTTAAATGTTTAGAACTTGGCAAAGATATGTACCTTGTCAACCTTGTTGGTTGACTTTACAGAGGCAATAGTTATCCAAAAGTCCTAAAATGCTTATACTCATAAATATATAGCATACATACAAAATACATCTAAAGCAGAGATAAGTGATCTTTCATAATCCTTGGAATAAAAGTTTAACATATAAGGAGAGCGTGCTTTAGAACCAGAATTGAGACAAGGATAAAGGAGGTAACATCTTGATCAGACTTTAGTATAGCTTGTCTTAAACATTTAAACTTAAAAACTCATATTAAAATCTAGATTTAAGTTTTCTAGGACTATTAATCACTTCTACTTGCTTTGCCAAAGTGGTCACATTGAGTTAATACCTTCAATTGGCATGCTGGACGTGTGGCCATGTTAACTTAAGTCTCTTGGATTTTGAACTTGTTCCCTTAAATTTTTAGTTTTATTGTGAGACAAAAGAAGTAGGGCTAATTTAATAGCATCAGTTTACATGAGTGCTTATTTATAAGCCAATTTGATACCAAGGA